CCCTCCCACACACACACACAAAGCTTTTGTCCCTTAATCTTTTAGGACTACATGTTTCAAAAATCTTCTTTTTTTCTTAAACTTTGTGTCAAGTCAAACTAAATCATCTAAACTGAAATAAATTGAGTACATAATTACTGAGTAGAATCTACTAGTCTTTGTCCTATCCAAATCCAAAAGAAGGGCTCAGGAATTCATTGATTTTTTGAGTTTGTATATATTATTGGGTATTGAGGTTTTGATGATTAACAAAGTGTGTTTTAATGCAATGATTCAAAGAACCAGGTCCTCAACGTAGCCTGCTTAACTGTTCTAAGAACCAGCTCATCGGGATAAAGGAACAAGTTGTAATCAAGTGTCACAAATAATTACTGAGTTGGAGTGAGTGTTTGCTTACAAGTTAGAGTAACTTATAAATCAAATAGTCGTAGTAGGAGTACTAGAGAGTATAGAATTACAGTCTTGTAATTGATACATTTTTGGTTCATTAATTGTTCTAATGGAGTTGAAGTTGAAAATCATACATAGTAGGTCATATTTTTTGCACCTTTTGAGTCGGGTGATTTTCCACATAAAAACTATTGTGTTTACTTTACTTCAAGTTTAAGGAATACGGTAAAGAACCAAATACTTTATTGAATCGTACGGGCACTTTAACTAACATATATAGAATTAAGGGGCCTCATATGTTAAGTGTGAAGGTTTGATTTGTTTGGTTGTGTTTTTTTAAGTTAATTATAGGGAAAAGGTATGAGTAACTCTAAACTAAGGCTGGCAAGTGGGTCGGTCCAGGCCTGGGATCGCGGGCCAAACGGTTAAACGGGCCAGGACCGTTTGGCCCGATTTTAGCGGGCCTGGTCCGGTCTCGTGGGCCGGTCCTATGATTTGGGCCCGTCAGGATCCGGGACTGGTCCGGTCCCTTAACGGGCCAAACAGTCTCAACGGCTATTTTTTTAAAAAAAAAATAGTCGTTGGGCTGTCAAAAATAGTCGTTGGCTATTTATAAAATAGCCATTTAA